CAAGCTTTCTCTTAAACGCACTTAAATTCACTGCCTCCACAACATCTGAAGTCAATCTATTTCACAGGCCAAACATTCTGTCAGAAAAATAAAACTGTCTTAGCTGAAGATGATTCCCACCTTGCCAAAATTTATACTTGTGTCCCCTAGTCCTACTATTCTCATTGTTAATATGGAAACAAATTGTAAAACTCACTTTAAAATATCACCCATTATGGCTCAAATCCCAGCTAACTTCATTCTTTCTTCACTGAACTTTACTTGTGCTCGCTTGGTCGACTATATTTCTATGTTGTTCACTGAAGCCTCAAACTTTTTATAAACTGTGCAAGTGATGCTATAATATAACAATACTTACTTAAGGCAACGAGAAAAGTACTGAAGAATCAAGTAACTTGGTATCAATATCCTACAACAATAGAACTACACACACACATCATACGACTCTTACCGAGTTACGCAACCAAACTTGTCATAACTATCACTTTTAAAATAATTACTTTTAACTGTCTTGTTATGAAAACCAAATAATCATGAAGTATTAAGTCACAAAGAAATAAATTAATTAATAACGCTTACACTAAACAGTCTTTTGTGTACCCAACAAAGATGATGTATCAACATTATCAATTCCCTTTCAATCTTAAACAACTCAATCAGATTCCCCCTAACTCTTCTTTTTTCAAGAGAAAACAATTTCAAAGATCTTAATCTTTTCTCATATGACAACCCCTCCATCCCAGGCACTGTTCTAGTAACCCTCCTCTGAACCCTTTCCAACAATTCAATGTCCTTCCTAAGGTAAGGAGCCCAAGACTGAACACAATATTCCAAATGTGGCCTAAGCAATGACCTATACAATGAAATTATAAAATTTTTAGGCTTGTATTCAATATTTTTATAGATACAACCTAAAATCCTATTTGCCCTACCACTAACAACATCACATTGCTTGGATGGATTTAGAGACTGATCAACTATTACACCAAGATCCCTTTCCTTCATAACACTGTTAACCCTTTTGAGATGAGTCACAGGTGAAAGGCCATGTCATCTCGTTTGTTGACTCGCATTTAAAATTTATTGAATTAATATTTCATGAATTTATGTCAATAAGTTTGGTATCAAACTGTAGATTATAATTCAAATTTTAGTACCATATATTACTCAATTTCTTAATTTAAAACCAAATATTAAAAAAACACAGATAAACATCAATTTTTGTGTGTCACGTAGTATGTTGAATGCAGCACTGGTTCAAATTAGATGTTTGTGAAGTCAAAATACTATGACTATAGTTTTGAACGAATTAGAAACTCAAATTACTGATATTGACAAGCCAGAATATAAAATAAGAGCCTCTTATCTTTTCAATTTGCTATGATATTGCTCATGTAATAAATCACACACAGTAGCACCCCACCCACCTCTTTCAATTTTTGGAAATGCTCTCTTATATACACTTACTTCTATATATGACATGAATAACTAATCAGAAGCTAAGAATGCCTCCCTAGTGGTTTTCTCAGTCATTTTAATGGACTTGATACCACTTCTTTCTTTTGAACCAATATTTCAACGAGGTAGGGCGTGTTTTTAGTCTGCTCAAAACTTCATATTTCTTTAGACTAAAATATGTCTTAGTTACTGAGCTTGCTAAATTATAGTAGAATTCTATGGTATTAATGTAGTCATTTATGATTTTTTAGTTTTTCAAATACACATATAAAACCTAAA